TAGTAACTGGCTTTGAGTTCACAATCCTGAAAGGGACACAAAAGAATTGTAACTTATAGCACATTATAATAAAAAACATAGGCCTGGGATTATTTTGAGAACAAGTAGAATTTCAGATGGATAAATTCTTAGATGGACATAACCTAATTTCATTGGAGGCTGAAAAGATGTGCAGCTAAGGAAACAAAAAATGGTACCTGAACATGAAGTAAGCATCAGCTAACTCTTTTCTTTTGAATTGGACAAATTCTAAAGTCACGTCTTTCAACTTCCTTGTTTAGCATTTTCTTCTTTCGTTTCTACTTTTGTAGAAAAGTTTAGAATTGATGCTTCATTATTACAAATTTATTGCATTATTTCATTTTTAGATTACTGAATTTTAAAATGCATTTAATTTATATGAAATTAAATGACTTCTGTGATCTTTGGTTAATCTTATTTATGCTTCTGTGAATCTCTACAGGGAAACAAGACGTATATTTTGTTAGTTCCAGTAATACAATGAGCCAGTTATTTTTATTTTGTGTTTGAGTTTTAGAATGGATGGTGGCAAAACCATGTTGGTCTTCTGACTTTGTTTTGTGGTAGTTGTTGCAAGTCTGGTATATTTGCCTTGCATTGGGGTTGTTCACCTTAAATTGTAAAATTTGCAAAGGCTAACTAGGCTTCTATATTTTCCTTATTGTGTGTTCCTTCCTCTCCAGTCGCCCCCATAGAAGGTTTGATAAATTGTTTTTTAAGACATTAATCTGTAATGCAGTTCATCTCATTTATCATTAACAGAAATCTGAAATTTAAAAGTATATCATTTTTATACATGTTTAATTTGAGGTGACAATGGGATATCCAAATGAAAACATCCAGTTAACAAGTAGACATTCAGATACCAGATTACTAAGATGAGAAAGATTGTACTTATTCTTCATAGAGGACATCTTAGAATAAAAGTCAAATCCTGTCATCTTTCTGTTGTTAATCCTCCAGTAACTGCCTCAGTCACTGGGACTTAGTCCTTACAATGACTTTTAAGACCTTACATGGTATAGCCTCCCATTATCTCTCTGACCTCATCACTTACTCCCCCATCCCCCGATTCTAGCCATGCTCACCTCTTTCATGTTTCTCGAAAAGCAGTTATGCTCTAGCTTTAAGGTCCGTCTACCTCCCCTTGCCGGAAGCACCCTTCCTCCATTTATCATTCTCTTGACTCTCTCCCTTACCCCTTTCTTACCTTTGCTCATATCTCTCACTTTTTCAGTGAATCCTTTCCTAATTACCTTACTTGCTTCCCTTCCACTTCCACATACCTAAGCCTCTGTTTTTGCTTTATTTTTCTCCATAGCTCTTATCGCCTTCTAATATACTGTATAATTTACTTTTTAATTTCATGTGTTGTTGTCTCCCTCATAATAGAACGAAACTCAGTGAGGACAGTTATTTTGTAAATTTTATTCACTGCTGTATCTCTAGTACCTAGAACAGAGGTTGGCATATGGTAAGAGCTCAGTAAATATTTGCGGCTAATTTAAGTTGGTCTGCTCCCACATTGAGATCAATTTAAAGTTTTTTGGCTAATATTTACCTTTTTGTCTAATATTTACATTTGCTGAGAACATGAGATATTATTACCAAGGATTTTATTTTTGAAGTCTTTTCTTGAGGTTGAAACTAAAGTTAACATATATAATCTATATACTTGTATATACAGATGATATATATAACATTATATATAGATTATATAGTAATATATAATACATAATACACAGCATATGTAATCTATGAACACTTGATTGGACCATCATTTAGTAACTCATTCACCAGATCCTATAATAGACTCACCCAATAGGTGAGAGCTGATGCAAACTTTGTATATTATGTTTAGGAGGTTGGATGTTGTCCTATGGGCATTGAGGATTTAGTGAAGGGTTTTAAGTAAGAGATTGACATGATTAGACATACACTTGGTAGACTACTCTGGTGGGTCTGCAGAGGATAAACTTAAGGAGGACAAGACAAGAAACAGGGAGAAGCTATTTGGGAAACTATTTTAGTAGTCCAGCAAAAGAGTTAAATGAGAACCTGGATTGAAATTTTGGTAAAGGAAAGTATGAAGAAAGGATAGATTTTGGAAATATTTAAGAAGTAAAGGCCGGGCGCGGTAGCTCACGCCTGTAATCCCAGCACTTTGGGAGGCCAAGGCAGATGGATCACTAGGTCAGGAAATCGAGACCATCCTGGCTAACATGATGAAACCCTGTCTCTACTAAAAATTAGCCAGGCATGGTGGCGGGCATCTGTAGTCCCAGCTACTTGGCAGGCTGGGGCAGGAGAATGGCATGAACCTGGGAGGCAGAACTTGCAGTGAGCTGAGATCGGGCCATTGCACTCCAGCCTGGGCGACAGAGAGAGACTCAGTCTCAAAAAAAAAAAAAAAAAGAAGTAAAAACTGGCAAACCTTAGTGTTTGCTTGCATGCAGGATATGAGAGAAAAGGCTAGAATGACTGCAGTGTAGCAACTGAGACAGGAAATATATGAGAAGGAAATAGGTTTATAGATAGACTTTGCCCAAGGACAGGCAGGTAGTGTTTAATCCAGGACTTAAACAAGGTTTTTCTGGCCCCAAAGCTCATGCTGGTTTTTTGTTTTGTTTTGTTTTGTTTTTGCTTTTTAAATTATTTTTAACTGATGCATAATAATTGAATGTATTTATGGGGTACAGTGTGATACTTTGATACATGTGTACAATGTATGTGATCAAATCAAAGTAATTAGCATGTTCATGTCAATCATTTTTCATTTCTTCGTATTGGGAACATTCAAAATCTACTCATTTTGCTATTTGAAAATAAATTGTTGTTAATTATAGTTACCTACAATGCTATGGAACACTAGAACTAAATCCTCATATTTAGCTGTACTTTTGGATCTATTAAACAACCTCTGGCTATCCTCTCCTCCCCACATCCTTCCCAGCCTCTAGTAACCTATTCTGCTGTCTACTTCTATGAGGTTAACTTCTTTAGTTTACACGTGAGTGAGAATATGCAGTATTTGTCCTGTGGCTGGCTTATTTCACCTAGCATAATGCCCTCCAAGTTTGTCCATGTTGCCGTGAATGAAAAGATTTGATTTTTTTTTGTGGCTGTATGGTATTTCATTGTGTATATATACCACATTTTCTTTATCCGTATATCTGCTGATGGACACTTAGGTTGATTTCATATCTTGGCTTATTGTGAATACTGCCACATAAATATTGGAGTGCACATATCTCTTCAACATACTGATTTCATTTCCTTTGGACATACGCATATTTGTAGGATTGCTGTATCAGATATATAGTAGTTCTATTTTTAGTTTTTTGAAGAACCTCCATGCTCTTTTCCAAATGGCTACACTAATTTGCATTCCCACTAAAAATGTATAAGAGTTTCCTTTTCTCCTTGTTTCTTCCCAGCACAGAAGCCCATCCTTTTAACTACCATGTTGCAGTAGGCAAATCTAGTTGATTCCTTATCAGGGAAATGAGACCTTGAAAATGACATTTAAGCAGGGATGCTTTTGCTGCTGTTTATAGGACAGATTAGAAGTGAGAATGACTAGAATTGAGAAGGGAGATTAAAGGATCTTGCATTAATCTACAATTAGGTATTTGGTTCCACATGAGGATTATAACCATATCTGGGAATGAAGAAGGAGGAGACAACCTTGTTAAGGAAAAATTAGCAGGATTTGAATGCCCGTTAGAAATGAGTAAAAGAGAAAGAAGAATAAAAAATTGTAAAATTGTGATCCTAAGAGTTGGAAATTTTAATAAATAGCACGTCTAATATGGAGAAATTGAAAATGTGCCTTTTTGGTTGCATGAAATAATAAGTTCATGATTAAAATTTTAGGGATTATTTGTACGCCAAAAAATACGACAGTTACTGGTCTTCAGAAAAGGGCTAGAAGCAGAGTCAGTTTTAAGACTAGAGGAAAGGGTTTACTCAGAAATACCAATTAAAGCCATGTGAGAGACTCTCAACATTCTTTATAATAAAGTTTCTCAGTATGGCTGCTAACATACAGTGCTGTAGTTTAATAATTTAGAATTTAAGGAAAAGCTAAAGGTTCTCCCATTTAATGAGAGTTTTCTTTCCTTTTGTAAGGGTAGATGGAGTAAAAGAGAATGGTGAAGTGTGTTGTTTGGCACTAATAAAATCCAAAAGGTAGTGATGATTTTAAGACCAAGGATGGGACTCTGAGTTTCATTAGGGATTGTGTGGAGAATAATGGTTGATGAGGGACAGATCAGCAGGGATCTTTAAGTGCAGTCACTAACTGGTGCAACATGTGAGAGACCTGGCTGGCATGCTAGGGGGAATGACTTTGTGTTCTCTGGGATCTATACCAAGATCCTAACATAGACTAAACATTTGATCTTTGTTGCCTGACTACATAAACAAAAGGTTAGGAGTATAGAACTCAAAGCGTAAAGTACAATTCAAAATCTAAATCTAGTTTATCGCTTTAACTTAATTATATATATATTATTTATCTTCCTATCAATATAAAATCCCAAACCTTATGAGTGAATGTTATTTTAAATTATGTTGAAAGCAGGTTCTAAATAATAAATGCAAAGAATAATTTATCTGACTCCAGTTCAACATTCGGCTTTTACATTTACACATGAAAATGATTTTTTTCTCTTTGGAAAAAAAAGTCTCAGTATCTGTTTAATTATTCTAACCACGTTTTCATCCTAATTGGTTGTAACAATTTCACAAAGGATTATTAATTTTATTTTACAGATGTGGAAAAGAAAGCATAGAAATACTGTCTGATGACCTCTGTACTTTTATATAGATCCTGATATTTTTATGATGGCTGTAATTATCTATTCATTGAGATAGCACAGTTTTTAGAAATTTTCTAACAGAGGGGAGCTTCCCTACCTTTATTTGGTTGGAAAGGTCATAAGGGTAGATTTCTTACTGTTGTCCTTCCTGTTTAGGTGTGAAGTTTTTCAACATGAGTGGCCTCGGGGACAGTTCATCCGACCCTGCTAACCCAGACTCACATAAGAGGAAAGGATCGCCATGTGACACACTGGCATCAAGGTAGGAACACTCCTCTTAGTCTATTTTTGGCAGAGCTGCTTTATTACTTTCACTGCCACTTCAGAGCTTTTGTTTAATCTACTCCAAGTTCAGTGACTTTCTTTGAGTCTTTCATACTCACCATGTTGTCTTCCTTCCCCCAGGGTCTTTGCACATGCTTCTCCCTCAATCCAGCTTGCTTCCTCTTGATTTCCTTTAGTTAACACCTACTCATCCTTGAGATGTCAGCTTAGTCATTACATCCTTAAAGAGAGCCTTCTCTTCCTTCCATAACTGTTAGATCAAGTTCCTTCTTTCATGTAACTGTCTCAGATGTTTTTATAGCCATGATCCATAATTGCAGATTTTTACTAGTGTGATTATTTCATGAATTTCTGGCTTCCCTGCTAGACTCTAAGCTGCCACTTGGTAAAGGACCTTGTCTGTTCTTGCTCGTCATTGTATCTTTAGTTCCTAACACAGTGTGTGGCTTATATATAGTAAGAACACAGTAAAGATTTGTCAAATGAATAAATAAATCTATTATATACCTTTAATTGCTGTCTTAGAACATTATGGCATTAATGGAACTAAGAAATATCAGACTTTAAAAAAATGATTATTGTGTAGTTAAATATTTGGTTATAAGAAATATGACCACCTTAAACAGGCTAAAAGAAACCTAATGCTAAGGAGACCCTCACAAATGCCAGATAGAGAAGAAACCTCAAATGCCAGATAGATTTAAATATGCATAGTTATATTCAGTCCTGTTAACTTTTGATTAGTATTGCATTACATGAATATACCACATTTGAAAAAGATGTTTTTATGCAAATACATTCCCTAGCTGCTCATTTAATATTAGATTAAAAGAGCAGCTAACTTCCTACCTGAGAGTAGCTTCCTACATTGAGTGGAAATTTTATTCCACTCATCTTCTAGGATTTAGAGGAAAGTTTTTCGAACTCCACACTATTGACATTTTGCATCAGAAAATTTTTTGTTGTAGGGGAGCTGTCCTGTATTTTGTAGGGTGTTTAGCATTATCCCTGCTTCTACACACCAAATGTCAATAGCATCTTAGTTGTGACAACCAAAAATATCTCCAAACATTGCCAAATGTCCCCTGGGGCCAGGGAAAGCAAAATCACCTCTAGTTGATAATCACTGATCTAGAGAATAAAGCTACAGAAGACTCTTCTGTCCTTGGGTTATATGCTGCTTTCTCATGGGAGGAAAAAAGGGAGGATTTTAACAGGAGAATGCCAAGGCTCCAGGCTTGAGAAAGAAAAGTGACCATTTATCTTACTCAGCTCGGAGAGCTGTCAGAGAGAGACAATAACCTGAGTATTCATAATCACAAGTAAGTGTCCAGATGCTGGGAGGAATGTTGAGATCAAGATATGATCTAGAAGTGTGTTGTCAAAAATTAATGCTCTTGTTTTTATCTGTATATAAAGTCAGTCGTTAAAGGAAAAGTTAAGAATAAGTAACTATCTTTTACATTTAATTTTTTGTTTGGGGAAATTTTTTAAATATGTAAAAGAATATAGACTAAGAAACTATATCCAACACAATGTAATTGATAATATTCACATTATTATTTTGTTAATATTTTATCATATTTGCATAATCTTCTTTAAAAGTAATACAATATTGATTTGTCTGCAGTATTTTAATCTATTTTTAATAATCATGTGTGTATTTTATATATATACACACACAGGTATCTGAGCAATATAGAACATTAAATTTACATAATTTATATGATACTGTATATATTTTCTTTTTTTTTTTTTTTTTTTTTTTTTTGAGATGGCGTCTCGCTCGGTCGCCCAGGCTGGAGTGCAGTGGCGCAATCTCGGCTCACTGCAAGCTCCACCTCCCGGGTTTACGCCATTCTCCCGCCTCAGCCTCCCGAGTAGCAGGGACTACAGGCGCCCGCCACCACGCCCGGCTAGTTTTTTGTATTTTTTTTTAGTAGAGACGGGATTTCACCATGTTAGCCAGGATGATCTTGATCTCCTGACCTCATGATCTGCCCGTCTCGGCCTCCCAAAGTGCTGGGATTACAGGCTTGAGCCACCACGCCCGGCCATGTATTTTCTATAGTGTACTTTTTCAACATGGATTTTGAGGTTTAAATATGCATAGATATATTCAGTCCTATTAACTTTTGATTAGTATTGCATTACATGAATATACCACGTTTGAAAAATATTATTTTTCTACAAATGTATTCCCTAGAGATAAACAGCCCTGTTATAAATTTTCGATGTTACAGCCAGCCCTGCAGCAAACATCCTCACACGTATCTCCTATTTTATACATAAGAGTTTCTTTGGTCAGGCATAGTGGTTCACTCCTGTAATCTCAGCACTTTGGAAGGCCAAGGAAGGTGAATCACCTGAGGTCAGGAGTTTGAGACCAGCCTGGCCAACATGGTAAAAACCCATCTCTACTAAAAAAAAAAAAAAAATTAGCCAAGTATGGTGGCAGGCACCTGTAATCCCAGCTATTCAGAAGGCTGAGGCAGGAGAATTGCTTGAACATGGGAGGTGGAGGTTGCAGTAAGCCGATACAGTGCTACTGCGCTCCGGCCTGGGCAACGAGCAAAACTCCGGCTCAAAAAAAAAAAGAATTTCTTTAATATCTGTATAAATTTTTATGTTCACTAGGTAAGTACCACATTGTTTTTCAAATAACAGGCATTGAGAATTCCTTTTTTCCCACATTCTTACTAACACTGTTCTCTTCTCATTTTAGTACTTTGCCAATCTAATGGGTGTGGGGTTATAGTTTTAGGGGCATTTCCATGATAATTAGATAAACTGATCATCTTTTTTTGGTCTTTTACTCATTTATATTTTCTTCCTTTGTGAATTTCTTGGTTGGTTGCATCTTTTGCCCATGTTCCTGCTGGGTTGTTTGTTCTTTTCTTTTTTATTTCTAAGACTTATTTTAAATTTTCTGGTTACTAACCTTTTCTTGCTTATAATTGATGCAAGTATCTTCTCCCAACCTGTTGGTTAACGTTATTTATGGTGTCTCTTGACGTACAGAGCCATAGGTTTTCATGTGTCGAGCTTTTTAGGGTCTTGTTTAATAATTTTCTTCTACTCTAAGGTTTTAAATATATTTTTGTAATGTTTTCTTCTAATACACGTTTAAGGTTTTAATTAATCTGAAATTTATTTTTGTGCATGGTGTAATGTAGGGACCTAATTTTATTTATTGTTTTTCCCAGTTATACACTACCCTTGACTATTTTTGTTCTGTTATCTTTATTATAAATCAAGTTCCTGTATATATAGGGATCTTGTCTGAGCTTTTTTGTAGTTGCCTTGATATGTGATGGAACAAGTTGTTCTTCTTGGTTATTCTTCAAATCCATCCATTGTGCTGAATCTTCTTACGTGTTCTAATGGTTTATCTGTAGATGCTCTGATGTTTTTGTGTATATAACATCATTACAAATATAAAAGTTTCGTATCTTCTCTTCTTTAGATATCTTAAAGATAATTATCTTCACATTTGCTTTAAAAATATTTGAAAGTACCATCTTCTTGAGGTTTGTAACTCAAATATGTGCTTCAGTTTTAACAAAACGATGTATTTGATATGGTAAACTAAAAATTTATAATATTGAAACTGAGTTTATGTATGAATATCACCTTGTAATGTTTCTGTCTCCCCAAACAGAAGTGAATTCATTAATCATAAAGAGCATCTGTTAGACATCAGGGTATTGCCAGCATTGTGTACGGATCCTTGAACAGGAGAGTTTCTCAGCAATTGTCTGGTGGGGTGAGATATCTCGTACCTCCCTCCTGTTACCTCTTCTCCATTCATTCATTCTTCTAGGAGAATGAGGATTAAAACGTTAATCTCAAAATTATAGGTAGCTGTGTTTGTGCTTGTTGAGCATTTCCAATTCAACTCAAGTACACATTAAGTGCCCGCTCTTCAGCCAGCACCATTTGCATGATATTTTAAGGATACAAGTGAAATGTGAGACGTTTCTGTCTTTAGGGAGCTTACAAATCTGGTCATGGCACTCATTCTGCTTTTTAAATTTCTGGGCTCCCCGTGTCCCTGAAAATAAATAATCATAATCAAAACGATGATAATAGATAACATTTACTGAGCTAAAAGTATATGCCAGGAACTCTGCCAAGCATTTTACATGTATTCTCTTTTTTATACAAAACTCTGGGAAGTAATGTCATTATCCTAGTTTTACAGATAAGAAAATCGAAGCTTAGAAAAGTTAACTTTCCACTAAGTGACTTGCTCGGGGTTGGATGGCTAGTAAATGACAGGAAGTTTGGGCCTGTGCATTTTTTGTTGTTGTTGTTAAGGCACAGGATCTCATTCTATTGCCCAGGCTGGAGTGGAGCAGCACAATCATAGCTCACTGCAGCCTCCAACTCCTGGGCTCAAGCAATCCTCCTGCCTCAGCCTCCCGATTAGCGCATACCAGCATGCCTGGCTAATTTTTATTTATTTATTTTTTTTGAGACAGGGTCTTGTTGTGTTACCCAGGCTGGTCTTGAACTCCTAGCCTCAAGCATTCCTCCTGCCTCTGTCTCCCAAAGTTCTGGGATTACAGGTGTGAGCTGCTGTACCCAGCTGAACCTGTGCTTTTAAGTAGTATACCATGCTTTTTATCATGGCGTGCAAGATTCCCGTGATCTGATCTGGACCACATCTTTTGCCCTTTTGTTTCTTATCTGTAGTTTAGCTATACTGAACTACTTATAGATTCTTTAACTTGGTATTTTCACTCTTACTTTATACCTTTGAAAAAGCTGGTTTTTTCTTTCAGGAAGCCAGCCTCTCCCTACCACTAAGTTCATGCATCTTGTTCTCTAGGTCTAGGTGTACTTCTGTAGTATTCTAGTCTTGCTGCATAGTATTGTAATGGCCTGTTTTCTTTGTTTTCCAACTAATTGGGAGCTGCATCTAATTTATTTTTGGATCCTCCAGACACAGTACATGATTATCTGGCATATAATAAGTATAGGAGTATTTGTTGAGTTAGCTAGTTTGTTGAAGAAAAAACGGTACACACATGAGATAGTAACTCAGAATAGCATTAACTAGGAGGTCTGCAATATAAATGGTAATAAAAAGGTTTCGTAAAGAGAGAAATATAGTTGACCCAGAGTAATAAAGGAAGACTTCTTTTCCATTAAGGTAGACTTTTTTTTTTTGCCATCTCCACTTTTGGCTTTGAACATATCTGCTCTCATTTTATCTCCTTGCTTATTGGTTACTTCATATCATGGTGAGTTTTTGTAGTCTCAATCTCTAGTCATTTTATAGACACCTTGCCAGTTCATTACTTTTAGCTTCTTGCTTTCTCTGTCCCCTCTCTGTCTGCGTGTCCTGCCTGTTCTATCACTTTTTTCTTTTTCTGTATACTGTCTTCAAGTTCTTTGGTTTTACACAAAACTTACCATCAAAAACATATTTGAGAGTTCCACCAAGAGAGTCCAGTTTACTCTAAATGTTGAAATTTAGATCCATGGATTTAAATAGATCATAACTTTAGACTGAATTTACTAAATATACCTTATATCAATTAGTTTCTCTAAGGTAAAAGTAGATGTCTTCAAACACTGTCAGGTTGCAGAGCTGAGGTTCTCTAAAACCTTGTATGTATCAAAATGTATGTTACTCATTTTATTCATGCCTTGGTGTGTAATTTGTCAAAATATCTTGCTCCATTTTCTTGTTATGGGAGTTATAAGATACAATTTTAATAACTACAATTGGGAAAATTCCTCAATAATGAAAGACTTAAAAGATGAAAGACAGAAATGTGACGGTTGCAGTTTTAAAATTTGGTTTTGTTTTGGCATTTGTAATATTTTGTTTTGTGTAGGTAAATACATTTGATTAGTTGATTCTTTTCAACTTACTATATTATTTTGTGCTGTTGTTTTTATAGTCTTTAATATTATTAAGAAAGGTAAATGGGGCTGGGCTTGGTAGCTCACACCTGTAATCCCAACACTTTGGGAGGCTGAGATGGGCGGATCATGAGGTCAAAAGATCGAGACCATCCTGGCCAACGTGGTGAAACCCTGGCTCTACTAAAACACAAAAATTAGCTAGGCGTGGTGGCATGTGCCTGTAGTCCCAGCTACACAGGAGGCTAAGGCAGAAGAATTGCTTGAACCCGGGAGGCAGAGGTTGCAGTGAGCCGAGACTGCACTGCAGCCTGGCGACAGAGTGAGATTCCGTCTCAAAAAAAAAAAAAAAAGAAAAGTAAATGGTATCTTAATTGTTGCCAGTTATGAGCTTTATAGCAACCGATCTTCCCCTCTTCTCTCCTCTTTTTTCTATTACTTTTCTATCTAGCCAAATGATTTTGATTGCTGCTTATAAAACAAAGAACTACTTGTGACCGGTTCTCCTATTATATTAGTTTGATAATAACAAAATTTCAAAGTCATACTTAACTGTCTTTATATGTGTTACAAAACAAGTTACCTGATGACTTGGCTAAATAAACCAGGGCTAAAGACTGAAAGGCAAAACCGAATCATGGTCATTGAGTACATTTGGTATACTTTTTTAAAAAGGTGCTACCTGTATGCGCTGTTATTCCTTGTTCTCATTATTTTGCTTTAAGATAAATTGTTTGACTTTGTTTATTGCATTTATAGGAACTTACAAATAGGTTTTTTTCTGTCTTTTTAGGACACAGCTGTATACAGAATACATTGTTCACTGTACCTTCATCTCTGTTATTATCCTTATTATTTTGCTTTTGAATTGATACTTTTTTGATGAGGATCAACTAATGGTTTAATCATAAGAATTAAAAGTTTATCAGAGTTACCGGATTTCTAACTGTAACTTTTGAATTCTAGTATCGTTTTCCCTGCTTAATTTATACCAGTTATTTGAAAATTGAGATTTTTCTATTTCAAGGAGTTATTCATAATATAAAGTAGTTCCAAATGCAACTAGTGTATTTATTGTATGTTTGCTTTTAATATCTAGTAATTGTTAGTTATTTGAAAATATTCAAGGTGTATATATGATTGGGGAGATATATCTGTTATAGCAGTCAATTTACTTTATATATTTTAGCCAGAATTGTTTTCTAAACTTTGGTATTTGGTAGTGTCCATTTTTTAGATGTGAATTTATATCACTTTCTAAATCTGGTTTTATATTTTCAACAAAAATAAAGATCTCACTAAATGTGTAAGCATAGATACTTGATCAGAGAAGGAAATATGGTGATACAAATGTACACTAACTGGATTTTCTTTGTGTGACAGCACTGAAAAGAGGCGCAGGGAGCAAGAAAATAAATATTTAGAAGAACTAGCTGAGTTACTGTCTGCCAACATTAGTGACATTGACAGCTTGAGTGTAAAACCAGACAAATGCAAGATTTTGAAGAAAACAGTCGATCAGATACAGCTAATGAAGAGAATGGAACAAGGTAAAAAACAAAAAAAAAACCCATGGCCGTGTGCTTTGTTATTAAGAAATTTATAATATGTCATTTTGCTTTATTATTATTATTATTATTATTTTTTTTTTGGGAGACAGAGTCCCACTCTGTCACTCGGGCTGGAGTGCAGTGGCACGATCTCAGCTCACTGCAACCTCTGCCTGCCAGGTTCACGCTATTTTCCTACCTAAGCTTCCCAAGTAGCTGGGACTACAGGCTCCCGCCACTACACCTGGCTAATTTTTTTGTATTTTTTTAGTAGAGATGGGGTTTCACTGTGTTGGCCAGGATGGTCTCGATCTCCTGACCTCGTGATCCACCCGCCTCGGCCTCCCAAAGTGCTGGGATTACAGGCGTGCACCACCGTGCCCAGCCTACTTTTTTATTAAGAAATTACATTATATATAAATATATATAAATAAATATATTTTTTAATATATAAATAACATTATATATAAATAAATGTCTTTGTTAAAATGCTGTTTATTTTAGAAAGAGAACCTGAGAATCTTCTTGTTATAACAAAGTGTCTTATTAAGTTAACTCAAAAGCTGGTTGCTTTAGATTATGGGACTCAGTATCATAAGAGATTGAGTCAGAAGACACAAGTTGTGGAGTTGGACCTGAGGCCCTGGCATAGAGTTCTTTAGGACAGTAACTCCATGAAGGGAAAAATCTCTCCAGCTTTATGAGGAAGTTTGTCTCTACTTGGGCTCTTCTCTCAAAAAACCCTGATTTTTAAAAATTTTTTATTTTATTTTATTTTATTTTTTTTTTAATTTAATTTTATTTTTTTTTATTTATTTTGAGATGGAGCCTCACTCTGTCACCCAGGCTGGAGAGCAGTGGTGTGATCTCGGCTCACTGCAACCTCTGCCTCCCGGGTTCAAGCAGTTCTCCTACCCTAGCCTCCCGAGCAGCTGGGATTACAAGTGCGTGCCCCTATGCCCAGCTAATTTTTGTATTTTTAGTAGAGACGGGGTTTCACCATGTTGGCCCGGCTGGTGTATTTTTAAGGTTCATATTTTTACTACCTGTATTTACTAGGAACCCCATACCATCAAACCTCCTTGGTTGCCTACCAGAAAGAAAGGCAAAGCACTTTGAAGAAACAATCCCACAAGCTGGCCCCATGGGAGTGCCACAGAACAAGTGCTTCTGAGGGTGATTTTACACTGCAAAGTTACTTAACGTATGAGGAAATAATCTAGAGTAACAACACAAATAATAAACAGAAGGACTGACCCCAAAGAACTTCAGATTATTAACATTAAAGTTTTATAATTTTAAGATTTTAGAAATTGGAAAATGGATAGTCTAGTGACAACTGATTTAGCAACGGGAGAAACCATACTGTAAAACTGCAGAGGGGAGCACTGGCAAGACGCCTGGCTAACACTAACAGCCTGGCTCCTGCTTCCTAAATTGGGGGTGGCAGGGTTCCTCTGGGTAAACTGAGCAGTCGGAAGGTGAAGTCATGTGGGGATGATCCTCAAATGAAAAAATTCATTCCTTATCTTGCCCCCACTCCTCACATAACTGCATGTTCTGTTTAATGTGAACAAAAAGCCAGATATTGGAGGAAAGCCTGTAATATAAAAGAGAGCAAACCAAGCAAATAAACAGAAAAAAGGAAACTCAGAGGAAGCCGAAACAATGCAGGGAGCTGAAGAAAACTTAAAAAGATACCAGTCCCTCGGAGACATGAGGGAAGATATTTCATCAAAAAATGAGAATATGTCCTGTAAAATGAAATATTCAAAAGAAGAAATAGCTTTTGGAACTTAAAAACAGGATAGCTGATAAAAATTTTACCTGTTTCTACTCTTTGCCTCCCCACACTCTGTGCCCTGACCAGTTGCAGGCACACCCTGCCCCCGCTATTTACGCTTGCTGTTCCCTCTGTCTGGAATGCTCTGTCTCTAGATATCCACATGCTTTATTCACCCTTTTCATGTCTTTGCTCAAATATGTCTTCTGAGTAAAGTTGTTCCTAACTAAACTATTTGAAATATTTTAAAAACTAGAAAACAAAATCTATGCATCTTTTTACACCTTCTTTATTTTCCCCACAGTACTGTTTACATCTGACATATGACATATTTTATATATTATTTGCCTGCCCCCACTAGAGTTCCATGAGGGCAAGGATTTTTGTTTGTTCACGACTATATCCTCAGTACCTAGAACAGCACTTGGGTACCTAGTAGGCTTTCAATGCATGTTTGTTGAATGAATGGATGAAGGGATGAGAATTGAAGAAATCTCTTAAATAATAAGCAATGGAAAATGAGAGAAAAAATAAGAAACTTATAGGATTAGTGCAGGAAGTCTAACATATGATTAATCCCAGGAAAAAAAGAGAATAGAACAAATAGAAGGGAAGAAATGATAAGAGAAATAATGCAAAAATAATGTTCTCAGAACTAGAAGAATATTAGTTTCCAGATTGAAAGCCCTCATGTAGTGCCCAGCACAGTTGTTGAAAAAGAAAGATAAAGTAACTTATACCAATGCACAATTTAGTAACATTTCAGAACACCAGGGAGAAAAACAAGAGAGAAGAAAAAACAGGTCTCACACATACTAGATTGCTTTCAGAATAGGTTCAGGTTTCTAAATAACAACATTGAAAACTAAAATTCTAGACCCAGAATTCTGTGTTCATCCAGTTGAAGTTATGAGTGCCAAGTAGACATGTTCAGACTTTCAGAGTCTCAAAGATATTACCTCCAGTTATACCTGTTTCAGAAATCTCTATCCAATCCAAGATAGTAATGCTAGAAAGAAGGGCATAGGATCTTAACCCAGGGAAACCATGGAATCTTAACACAAAGAAAGGTAAAAGGAGACCCAGGATTACAGTTGCGCAGCAACCTAGAAAATAGCCAGTCCTAGTTGCAGCAGGTGGATAGAGGACTCTAGGGAACATTTCCATAGGAAAAAAGGAACGCATAAGAGTATCTGCTAACTGACTGAATCGAGGTGAATTTTTCAGCTTTGGAGGAGAGCTTAGGGTTGAATTAAACTATGCATAACATCTGAAACACTAAATATAAGAAAAGAAGTGTAAATTATAACACACACCTTGGCTCCCTTATAAAGTATGTTTATATGACCATAGTAACATATATATTAAATATTGGTTACTCAAAAAATTGTTAAAACTATACTGAAAGTAAGAGAGGAGGGGTACTTTGTGTAGCAGGTTGGTGTAAATAACTTAAATTCTTTACCTTTCATGATAGCATGTCAATAGATTCTGTCTAACGTGGACAAAATCAGGTTGTAGCAAATTAGCATGTTACTAAGAAGTATGAAGCGTATTAGGATATAGGCTAGGCTAGTATAACAACACACCCAAAATACAATGGTTTTAAAAAGATGGTCTAGGAAGGTGTCAGGGATTGACTCCTTCCATCTGTTTTGCTCTGCCATTCCTAGGGTATTGCCATTATCCATGTGGTTAGACATGGCCCCCTTGTCCATGTCCCAGCTAACAAGAAGGAGAAAGAAAAAAACAAGAAGGCATGCTTCTTTTTCATTACAGATAAGACCCAGAAATTGCATGTCACTAATGTTCACGTTCCCTTAGACCAGAAACTAGTCACGTAGCCGTTCCTACCTTAGGTTTTCCCTAAAATGTTAGATGTTTTGAACTTCACACAAAATTATTTAATCTGCTTGAACTTCATAGTTTATGTTTTTTAGAACTTGTTTACAAACAAAAGCCTTTCTTACCCTCATGTAATAAAACACATGAAATGATGAAGGAAATGTATCTTAAAATGAGAAACTCCTGCACCATAATAATAAAAAGATAACATAATTTAAAAATAAACAAAGACCCTGAATAGACATTTCTCCGAAGAAAATGTACAAATGGCCAGCAAGCACATGAAAAAGATGCCCAATATCATTAGCCATTAGGGAAATGCAAACTAGAATCACAGTCACATACCATTTCACACTCAGATGGCTGTAATCAAAAAGACAGATAAGGCTGGGTGCTGTGGCTCACGCCTGTAATCCCGGCACTTTGGGAGGCCAAGGTGAGAAGATCGCTTGAGCCCAGGAGTTTGAGACCAGTCTGGGCAACATAGCGAGACCCTGTCTCTACAAAAAAAATAATAATTACCCAGGCACCGTGGTACATCCCTGTAGTCCCAACTATTTGGGAGGCCGAGGTGGGAGGATTGCTTGAGCCCAGGAGTTTGAGGTTGCAGTGAGCTATGATTGTGCCACTGCACTCCATCCTGGGCAACAGAGTGAGGAGTGTCTTAGGAAAAAAACAAAAAATGGTAGTAACAAGTGTGGGTGAGAAATTGAAAGCCTCACATACTTCTAATGAGAATGGAAAAATGATAGAGCCACATTGGAAAACAGTCCAACAGTTTCTCAACTGGAAGAGAGTTTAGGGCTGAACATAGAGTTAGCTATCATATGACCCAATAATTCCACTTCTAGGTGTATCCCCAAGAGAAATGAACACATGTCCATACAAAAATTTGTACATGAACGTTCACAACAACATTATCACAAATTGCTAAAAAGTAGAAACTACCCATATGTCCATCATATGGGTGAAAGTAGAAACTACCCATATGTCCTATAAAAGGACATATACCCCTATGAAGGACTTTCATTAGACAATAAAAAGGAATAAAGTACTGATAAATAATTCAACATGGTTGAACTCTGAAAACATGCTAAGCGAAAGAAGCAGCCCAGTCACATATGACCACATGTTGTATGATTCCATTTATAGGAAATGTCCAAAGAAGGCAAATTCATTGAGACAAAAAATAAATTGGTAGATAGCTCAGGCTTAGGGGTATTGGAAAAATGGGGAGTGACTGGTAATGGGAATGGAGTTTTTTGGGAGGTGATGAGAATATTCTAAAATTGTGATGGTAGTTGCACAACTCTGTGAATATACTAAAAATCATTGAATTGTGTGCCTTAAATGAGTTAATTGCATGTTGTGTAAATTATAGCTCAAGAAAGCTATTATAAGTATGATGTGAGATAACATACCATAGGTTTGCAAAAATTAAAAACTATAATATTGTTTTCAGCAAGGATGCAGAAGAGCCAAACCAATGTTACAACCTCTTTGGAGAGCAGTTTGTCAATACCTAGTAATATAAGTTATACAGACCTTATGATCCTGCAATTTCACTTCTAGTATTTATCCTGAAAAAACTGACACATGTACAAAAGAGGAAATATCAAAAATAGTTTATTATAGGACTGTAGTTATCAAAAGACCTACCAGTAGGGGAATAGAAATCTACTATGGATTATTTATATAATGTAATACTCTTAACAGCAGTTAAAATGAATGAATCAGACCTACATGTATCAATGTGGTTAAATCTCAAACATAATACTGAGTGGAAAAAGTAAGTTGAAAAAGTTTGTACAGTTGTCCCTTGGTATGTGTGGGGGGTTGCTTTCATGACTTCCCACTGATACTAAAATCTGAGTATGCTCAAGTCCCTGATATAAAATGGTGTACTAGCCAGGGGCAATGGGGCATGTCTGTAATCCCAGCTACCTGGAAGTCTGAGGCTAGAGGATTGCTTGAGCTTAGGAGTTTAGGGCTAGCCTGGGCAACATAGCAAAATCCCTGTCTCTTAAAATAAAACAAACAAAATTTAAAAATAAGATAAAATGTAATAATTTTTGCATATAATTGATCCTCCCATGTACTTTTTTTTTTTTTTTTTTTGAGACAAGCTTTCACTTTGTCGCCCAGGCTGGAGTGCAGTTGCGGGTTCTCGGCTCACTGCAACCTCTGCCTCCTAGGTCCAAGCAATTATTGTACTTCAGCCTCCTGAGTAGCTGAGATTACAGACATGTGCCACCACACCCAGCTAATTTTTATATTTTTGTTAGAGGGAGGATTTCACCATGTTGGCCAGGCTGGTCTCCAACTCCTGATCTCAAAAGATCTGCCTGCCTTAACCTCCCAAAGTGCTGGGATTACAGACGTGAGCCACCTCGCCTGGCCCATGTACTTTTAAATAATCTCTAGATTACCTATTATGATACTTACGACAATGTAAAGGCTATGTAAATAGTTGTACTGTATTGTTTAAGGAATAATGATGAAAAGATGAAAAAAAATCTATATGTATTCAGCAGAGACACAATTTTTTCTCAAATATTTTTGATCTATGGTCAGTAGAATCCATGGATGGGGAGGACTAATGGTATATATAACTACACATTTATGTAAACTTTAAAACATGAAACAATAATATATTGTTTATATGTATGTTTATATATATAAAACAATAATATATTTTTATGAAATCATACATATGGAGTGAAAGTATAAAAACATGCTTAGAATGATTATGGCAATCTCAGAATAATGGTTGCTTCTGAAAAAAGGCACAGAGGAGGGAGGGCAGGCCTTTCACTGTATTTGCAACATGTATTTATTTAAAAAGGAAAAATATGGAGCAAATGATGTTAACATCTGTGAAAACCGAATGGTGGCTATATTAATATGTGCTGTATAATTTTCTGTATTTTTTGGAATACTTGAAATCCTCCTTTTTTTTGAGACATGGTCTCATCCTGACACCCAGGCTGGAGTGCAGTGGCACAATTATAGCGCACTGCTGCCTCAAACACTTGGACTCAAGCAATCCTCCTACCTCACCCTCCGGAGTAGGTAGGATTATAAGCATGCACCACCACACCTAGCTAAGTTTTAAAATTTTTTGTAAAGATAAGGGTCTCGCTTTGTTGCCCAGGCTGTTCTCAAACTCCTGGCCTCAAGCAGTCCTCCCACCTCTGCCTCCCAAAGCACTGAGATTACAGGCTTGGGGCACTGCACCCAACCCAAAATACTTCCTGTTTTAAAGTGAAAATATGAATTTTTATGCTCAATAATATAATACCATATTCTCATTGTTGAAACACTGGATGTAGTATTCAAATCTTCATGCTGCCATGTATTAGTTACGTTTTCAGGCACATTACTTAACCTTTGTGATGTTCCATTTTATAATCCATAAAATAAGTATAATTAAGATTAGTGTGAAAGTGCCTAGATACTGACTAAATGTTATTTGAATTTGACAGTTGGTGAATCTGTGTCTTCATAAACTTGACTTTATGAAAATGAGCTCTTTTCAGATATGTGATTTTTTTAAGTTTCTTTATTATAGAGAAATCAACAACTGATGACGATGTACAGAAATCAGACATCTCATCAAGTAGTCAAGGAGTGATAGAAAAGGAATCCTTGGGACCTCTTCTTTTGGAGGTAGGTGTCGTCATTGACTTAGAAAATGATTAAAATCTTTGTTGTAGCCAATTTGGTTTTTTCTTTTTTTTTTTTTTAATGCCTTATATCCAGTTAATAAATTATAAAACAAAGAACTTCTTACAATTTTATCAGGATAACCATTTGACAGTTGTTACTGTTTCAGAATCAAAAGTGAATAATGAACATAAGAAATTTTCATGAAGGCATTCTGAGCAGTGAGATGGAAAACTTGAAGCTTACTGTATATGGCTTTGCCTTTTATTTCTGTGGTGGTCAGGCCTAACTGGGAAAATAAAATATTAATATTAGATTTACTTGGCTAGCTAGTGTTATCTATATGTATACCATAGAATTTTACTTTTGAGTGAAAGATCCCACAGTTTATTGCAGTACATGATTTTCTGCAGTTTTCTGAATAAAAATATTTAAATTATTTATATAAACATTCTAAGAGAATTACTATTTTAACTGTCAAACTTTGTAATGTGAAGGACTTTTAAATTTGAATGACTTTGTAATTACTATGTAATTTTCACCCCTGCATTTTCTATCTAATCTTTACTTCCTGCATTCTTAATATAAATGTCTTGTTTCCAAGCATCCTCATTACTTTAAATGCTTTCTCTCCTACATGAATGTTTAAAGACATATGTATGTATGTATATACTCATCCCTCACAATGTACACTTTCTATCTCTATGCCTAATTATGTATATTTATTTATGTAAGGATATATAAAACAAATTATCCTTTCCTTATCTTTCCTAAAGGCTCTCCTCTCTGATGAAATCTTCTTAACTACTCAGACTTGCATAGGTCTCTTTATTTTCTAATTCCTTTATATGTTTTGTGGTATTACCCTACTTCCTCCTGTTTTTGTATTAACCATAATTCCCTCTACCTACTGCTAATGTAAGAATAGTCTTAAAATTCACTTCTTTTACAGCCCCAGAAATATCATGTATTCTCGTTGCTTCACTTTTTATCTCTATAGAGATGATACTCAAATATGTACGTTTTGCTTTTACCTCTTCCCATACTTCATTCCTATAATGAATAGACACTAATAATAATAAATGCTAAATACTTTCAACTCTCCTATTAGCAACTTCTCCCTCTGAATCTAAATTCTTTATTTCCCTTCCACATTATACAAGTACTTTATTACTTCAGACTTTTGCTTTTAATTATTTTTATTCGTGGAACAAGTGCATAATTTTGTAGAATTATAATATATGAAACACATTGGCTGTTGAAACTAGAATGGAAACTACTCTCTGAGCAAGTACATACACATGTAACTGGTGAGGGGAGCTAGTACGTATGATGGATGTGGATTTCTTATTGTCAAAAGAAATCAAAAAATGACAGGAAAACATTCATTCAAAATTATTATAAGAAGACAAAGTAGGAATTAACTTTTTTAGCTGATGAAATTATTACTCTGAAAACCACTGTGAATCAAAGGAAAACTGTAGCACATTACATATAAATTAAATGTCATTATGCAAGCATTTTCAAATATGAAAGAACATATCACATTAGAAATTTAGAAAACAGTATGAAGGTGTATTTAGGTTCTTGACTTCAAGGAGCTAATAATATTTTTGTTTATGAATTACAGATATGTGAAATAAAGACTATCAAATAGAATTATAAATTTTACAGACAACAAATACCTTCATTGACAACCTGTTATACCTGATGTCTTTTCTTTTGAGATGGTGTCTCGCTCTGTCACCCAGGCTGGAGTGCAGTGGCGCGATCTCGGCTCACTGCAAGCTCCGCCTCCTGGGTTCATGCCATTCTCCTGCCTCAGCCTCCCGAGTAGCTGGGACTACAGGCGCCCACCACCACGCCCCTGACCCTGTCCCTGTTAACTTAAACTTTATGGAGTTTCATCCTTGGAAGCTAAAACAGGAAGGGTAGAAAAGCTACCAAGAGATGTTTTCATTGAATAATCCACGTTACAGTCTTGAGATGCACTGTTCAACATAATAGCCAGTAGCAACATATGGCTATTAAAATTTAAATTAGGGCCAGTCACAGTGATTCACACCTGTAATCCCAACACTTTAGGAGGCTAAGGCAGGAACATCATTTGAAGCCAGGAATTAGAGACCAGTTGGGTAGTGTAGTAAAACCCCATCTGTACAAAAAAATGAAAAAAGGTAGCTGGTCATGGTGACACATGCCTTTGGTCCCAGCTACTTGGGAAGCTGAGGCAGGAGGATTGCATGATCCCAGGAGTTTGAGGCTACAGTGAGACTTGATTGCACCACTGCACTCCAGCATGGTCAACAGAGCAAGACCCTGTCTTTATTTTAAAAAAAAAAAATTTTTAATTAAATAAAGTTAAAAATTCAATGCTTCAGTCTCACCAGCCATATTTAAAGTGTTTGGTATCCATATGTGGTCAGTAGCTACTGTATTAGACAATATAAGTATAGCATATTTTCATCATTGCAGAAAGTTCAGTTTGACAACACTAGTGTAAGAGGGACTTGCCCAAATGGAAGATCCCCAGAGGTAAAAAATGAACAAATATCCACTACCATACTATGAGAAATTCTCACCATTCAGAATTGTTTATTTCTCCTTTTATTTATTTATTTATTTATTTTATTTTATTTATTTATTTATTTTTGAGACAGAGTCTCTGTCACCCAGGCTGGAGTACAGTGGTGCGATCTCAGCTCACTACAAGCTCTGCCTCCCGGGTTCACGGCATTCTCCTGCCTCAGCCTCCTGAGTAGCTGGGACTACAGGTGCCCACCACCATGCCTGGCTAACTTTTTTGTATTTTTAGTAGAGACAGTGTTTCACCGTGTTAGCGAGGATGGTCTTGATCTCCTGACCTCGTGATCTGCCCACCTCAGCCTCCGAAAGTGCTGGGATTACAGGTGTGAGCCACTGCTCCTGACCTATTTCTGTTTTTAAAAATATAAAATAAAGTTAGCACGGGTAAAGAATGAAGATCCTGAAAGAAATTTTTGCACATCTAAAGAGAAGGTGACGTTAGAATTTATTTATTCAACAAAGATTTGTTGAATACCTAGAGTGTGTCAGACACTGGATATCTACATCATGGAATTACTATAAAAATTAAGTGACACAATTTCTTAGCAGAGTACTTTACACATAGTACTCATTAAGTCCAGTATAGGCATTTTTTTAAAAGCTCATTTCCTCCCTTTGCTGTCTAAAATTCCTCTGCCTGCTGGTCAGAGTTCTGCATTATTTAACTGTAACCGTCCTGTTTCCTTTGGTCCATAAGAAAACTCTTATTTCAGTCAGGGAGGTCTCACTATGTCTTGCACATGCATTCTAGCTTCGTCAACTTGCTTTGTACGATTCCCTACATTTCTTTGGGGTTTTTTTGTTTTTTGTTTTTTGAGATGGAGTCTTGCTCTGTCGCCTAGACTGGAGTGCAGATCTTGGCTCACTGCAGGTTCCGCCTCCCGGGTTCACGCCATTCTTCTGCCTCAGGCTCCCAAGTAGCTGGAACCACAGGCACCCGCTACCATTCCCTAATTTTTTTTTTTTGTATTTTTGTAGAGATGGAGTTTCACCGTGTTAGCCAGGATGGTCTTGATCTCCTGACCTCGTGATCCACCTGCCTCAGCCTCCCAAAGTGCTGGGGTTACAGGCATGAGCCACTGCACCCGACCACCATTCCGTACATTTCTTTTTTTTTTTTTTTTTTTGAGACGGAGTCTCGCTCTGTCGCCCAGGCTGGAGTGCAGTGGCGCGATCTCCGCTCACTGCAAGCTCCGCCTCCCGGGTTCACGCCATTCTCCTGCCTCAGCCTCCTGAGTAGCTGGGACTACAGGCGCCCGCTACCTCGCCCGGCTAGTTTTTTTGTATTTTTTTAGTAGAGACGGGGTTTCACCGTGTTAGCCAGGATGGTCTCGATCTCCTGACCTCGTGATCCGCCCGTCTCGGCCTCCCAAAGTGCTGGGATTACAGGCTTGAGCCACCGCGCCCGGCCCATTCCGTACATTTCTTTGTGGCTTTTGACACTTGCTGACCACTCATTCCCACTACCTTAAACATTCCATGGCACCTTTCACAGTGTTCTTTCTCTACCCCTCTGGTTACTCCTCAGCCTTTTTCTCAGATTTCTTTCTTTAATTGCCTCTTAAATGTTAGTATCCCCCAGGATTCTAGCCTTGGCTCTTTCCCTTTTTTTATTCTGTACACATTTCCTGGGAAGGTTTAATCTGTGTCTTTGTCTGTATAACATATACACATATATGTGAATTACATGTATGAAATCAATTGCAATTCTCTGATTTCACGCAATAGAAATCAACTCTGACTAAGCAAATATGAATTTATTGGAATGCTATTTGGATATCATAGAACCATGCTTGGAAACGGGATGAAATCAAGGTACCTTGAGGGTAGAAAGCAAAAGCTTTGTTAACAGTCTCTTTGAAAGAACTATCTGGGCAATGCCCTGCTGCTAGAATGAATGTACTCCTGCTATGTTTAGCTTTTTGTAATCCTTAAGATTCACATTTAAGGAGGAAGTCTCCCAGTGGCCTGATTAAGTATCCCATAAGACTTTATGTAGTGGGGAAGAAAATTTCCCAGAGGAAATCAGAGTATCCTTTACTAGGGGAAAAGATGATTGTAGTTAAAAACAAACAAACAGGCTGGGCGCAGTGTGTCACGCCTGTAATCCCAGCACTTTGGGAGGCCGAGGCGGGTGGATCACTTGAGGTCGGGAGTTTGAGATCAGGCTGGCCAACATGGCAAAATCCCATCTCTACTAAAAATGTAAAAATTAGCCGGGCGTGGTGGTGAGCGCCTGTAATCCCAGCTACTCAGGAGGCTGAGGCAGGAGAATCGCGTGAACCTGGGAGGCGGAGGTTGCAGTGAGCTGAAATTGCACCATTGCACTCCAGCCTGGGCAACAGAGTAAGACTCCGTCTCAAAATAAATAATAAGTAAAAAATAAACAAGAGACCCAAATGATTACTATATGTACC